TGGGAAAGGCGGGAAATTGACTTCAGGAAAAAAAAAAAAAAAAAAAAAAAAACACATACACCAAAAGAAAGAGTGAGAGAAAAAGAGAGAAAGAGACAGACAGACAGACAGAAAGAGATGGAGAAGAAAGAATGGAATAAAAAAATACTTGAAAGAAATTGACAAATCAAAGATTTTTAAACAAGAAAAAAAGTTTTTACATTCAGAAGAGCTATGAAGAGGTGCTGAAAACTTACAACTATACTAGGTGTGCATTGATACACGGTTCGATACATTTTTTAATACCATTTCCTCCTCAGGAAGTATACAATCCATATTTTCCTTTTGCTTATTATCTGTGAATTGCAATTACCTTGATGGAGAAAATAATGGAGTGTCGCCAGTTGACATCTCAATGATTTTGAATTCAAAGTTTTCCTTCTCCTAGGCTAGTTACCACTAGTGAGCTCAGTCTCTTATCGTACCTATTTTTGGAAATAAGAAATGGTTTCATGCCTTACCTTTCCCTAATGTGAAATGAATGCAACTAGGCCGGAATTTGAACTCGGCTCGCCGACTTCATTTTTTGCATCAATAACCAAATCAAGTATAATGCCATTTTACTGAGCATTTTTTTTTAAGATAACGATTTGGCTTAAAGTCATGTTACCTTACACATGGTACCTTACACATGGTACCTTATACAGCATCGTTCTCTCTATCTCATTTCAAAGTCTGGTGGTATAGCAAGCTATGAAAGGCTTTGCTAATATTATTTAAAAAAAGGTACAGAGGATTCTCTTGACTAACCAAGGTTTATGCTGAGTGTAACAGCTTTTTACAAACTACAGTTTACGGTTCAAAAAAAAAAAAGGGCTGTGTAAAATTGAAAGGTGCTTCTAAGCTTTCTAACATGGGTACAACAGATTTTCCAGAGAATTTTACATCAGCACACGTTTGTGTTTTGTGTGTGTGTGTGTGTGTGTGTGTGTGTGTGTGTGGCATTTTTCGGTCTCGAGAAACCGTGTATCTGCGCGTCAAAAGTTCTGCGTTAGCTGCCGATGGTGGTGCAGCAAATGTTATGGCTGTACAGGCCCACACGGAAGTTACGGAAGTGAAATTCTCGATTGCAACGAATGCTTGTGAAGACGCTCGCCTTCGTTGCAGCCCTCGGTGTAAAAGATCGTCTTTAGCTTGAACGATCTTTGGCGACGTCTTCACACCTCCCGATGTCATATATATATATATATATATATATATATATATATATATGACACACACACACACACACACACACACACACACACATATATATATATATATATATATATATATATATATTTGGTTGGACGGATGTGAGTTTGAGACTCTGGGTTTCACGCTTTAGCGATCGTCAGACAAATAATTATATATATATATATATTTATTTATATTTATATACACACACTTTTCACACACACACACACACATATATACATATATATAAAGAAATATAGTCTTAAGGTGTGCTATATTTATGGAATAAAGTGCTCAATATCAGAGATAGAGCGTGTGTAAATATAAAAGTGAACATAGAAGTCAACACTTAGAGGCGACAGTCTGTTTCATGCTATATGCAATCGTCAGGCCACGTATGCTGTTATTTTTCTCGGCTATTTATATATATATGCGGGTTAGTGGTGCATTGTGGGTATTCTATTATGACGGTTATTTTACCGGAAGTCGTTTGTTTATTTATTTGGGGCAAATTATATTGCTTGTTTTTATTTTTATTTTTTTGTTTCTTATTTTATTTATTTATTTATTAACGTAGTAAAAATTTGTTTATATCACTTATTTAACAGTTTTGTTTTGGTTTGAGAATTTAATTAAAGCTATTTGTTCAATTTTTGGGGTTGATTGTTGTAGATTATTTTGGCGGGAAGAGTTTTTAATTGATTATCTTTATTTGGGATTGGTTTGTTTATTTATTTACTTGGATGAATTTAGGTCAATTTATTTTACTTGTATATTTTCTCTTTTCGCTTTTCGGTTTTTAAGTATACTGTGTTATAAATGTAGCGAAAGTGCTCTACTGTTTGCCAGGAGCTGAATATAAAGAAATATAGTCTTAAGGTGTGCTATATTTATGGAATAAAGTGCTCAATATCAGAGATAGAGCGTGTGTAAATATAAATCATCTTTGTTACCATATTTATCACAACGTTTCGGCCTTTGTACGCTCCGGCCTTCTTCAGGTGGTTGGAATGTCGAACTGGACCCTTTATTTCGCTCGCCAGGGTAGACTGTTCTTGTCCCACGTGCTATGTCCAATGGATGTCAGTTATCAGTTATCTCCTGTTAATTCCCCTCTCCAAGTTCTCCACTGCCTTAACCAGGTATTGAACTCGCAACTCTTTAGATCTTGTTACTCGATCTAACCAACGCCTTTATCCACGTGTCCTTTTAGCCATGTGTCCTTAAGAATAGAACGCGTATCAGATTAAATAACCGCAATAAATTTAGACGTTTTCCAACCGTTCAACCTGAATGACTGTCTTCTGACCTTTTAGTTGTCTTAGAATTGCCTCTCTGTATAGGTTAAATAAATCCGGTGAGAAGACGCATTTTTGTCTTTTACTCCTTTCTATTTTTTGCGTACTTGTTCAATTCATTTTCTATCCGCATGCAGGCTCTTTGTTCCCCTTAAATGTTCCAGACGCTTCTAATATCTTTCGCAAATAAATCAACTTTTTTTTTTCTAGCAGTTTGAGCGAATTAAAAACAATATAATTTCATTGAAACTAAATCAAGCCGTATCATGCCTACCAAGATTTGTGTTGATGTGTTATTGTTGTAATGGAATGTCCCACACTCCCTATTGCCTATATGAACTGACTATATATATATATATATATATATATATATATATATATATATATATATATAGTGAGCACAGGATATACCTGGGGACTTGCTTCGACAATTATTTGGAGATTCGTCTCCAGCTAAGCTAGTCGAACTCTCTGCCTTCGGGCGGAGAGGAACCCAGATGAGCCTATGCCAAAGAGCAGAGTCTCGTCTGGGGGTGGTAGACAGCTACCCCACCCCAGTTTTACGGTGTCTACGGGGAATTTTTGCCCGAGCCTACGGTCTCGGTTTTTTCCCAGCATTAAAAAAAGGCTTTGTGACACATCCTGCCTTGCGGGGAAATAAGTTAAATAACCTTGCTTCGGCGATTAGTTGGAAATTCGTCTCCATCTGTGATAGTCGAACTTTCTGTCTTTGGACAGAGACGAACCCAAACGAGGCTATGCTAAAGGGCAGAGTCTCGTCTAGGGATGGTAGACAGCTAACCGGCCCCGTTTTTTACGGGATCTACAGAGAATTTTTGCCCGAGTTTACGGTCACGGTTTTGCCCCGCATTAAATAACGGGGTGGTAAGTTAAAGAACCTTGCTTTGGAAATTACTAGCCTGCCACCCGATTCCCTGTCTTTCAGTAGTGTATTTTCTTTTACAATAAACCTCTATTCTTTCATCTACGCGCGTGTTGCTGTTCCTTCACTCCAGTAGCACCTTTGTATGTTTGTAACCTCTTTAAGGATACAATAGTTATTACCTTGTACTTGTCAATAATCAAGCTCAGGATATCAATGCTGGGGTCCTCCAAGGCTCTTTCACAGTCCTACTCTCTTTACATTTTTTTTATTAACGATCTACCAAGGAACATTCTCAGATCATTAGTAAACATCAATGCAGATGATACAACTGTTTATGGACACGCTTACAAAGATGATCCGAGTCTTGCAGTTGATCTCTCATCTCACCTAGTTCTAACAGCTCAATGGTGATATAACAGGCTAGTTACTTTCAATGCCTCAAAACCCAAACTGGATTTGTTTCATCACCACTTCTCAAACGTCGAGTTTTCTTCAGTCATGGTGGACAGTTGCATTCTCAATGAGGTTCTCTACTTTGAACGTCTATTGGGCCCCAGCTTCACTTTAGACCTTAAGCGGAACACAATCCGCTTCTAAAGAAGGGAGTAAAAATGGTCGGCTCATTCTATTTTTCCAGGAAATATCTAACTCCTTTTACCCTGCTTACGGCCATTATAGGTTCGCCTATCGTCCAATTCACGCACTGTCTCGGTCTTTAGAATAGGAGCTGAGGTTTACCCCCTGTGCGTGGTCAGTTTCCTGTTTGAGTTTCCGGTTCCTTCTCATGACTTTTCATTCTCTTTCACTTCCAATAGCTCCCTTGCATCTTAGTGAAGTTACTGCCTTCCTTGGGAAAATCGAATTAAACAAAAAAAAATCCGGCTCAAACACAAACTCCTCACTTTCCAGGCTTGACATTCAAATTTGTTTACGCAGTCCAGTGGGTGATAAAATTTTTCCATTCAACAACATTTTCCCCCACAGATGCAACGTTGCAAGCCAGACGCTATGCAATCACTTTTCCATTGCAAATGTTCACAAGAGCGCTCCATTCTTTAGTTCCGTCGGTCCAGACCTTTACTGATATAACACGTCTTGCTACTTCCACGGAGTCTAATCATCCTCATTTCCTCTTTGTTCAACATGAAAGAAGGTAGTTCCTCCCTAACAGCTTTTTTCCCCCCAAAGACTGTCACTTTGTGAAACAGACCTGGGGATTTCCTTGAACACTACAATCTTAATCATTTCAAGTCAAAGGTCAATCATTATCTTTCAAGTCAAAGGTCAATCATTATCTTTCAAGTCAAAGGTCAATCATTATCTATTCTTCTTCTTCTCATAACCTTTATATTCTTTTCTAATTACGTGCAAATACGAAAAGGTATGAATCCATCTCTTCTCTTCGCAGCTATGTGTAAATAGCGAGACAAACTGAGTCCTATAGCCTTGGCTGGTAACCGGTCTAGTAGAAGGAAACTTTGAATTGAAAAGCTCCACCTCCACCTGGGTTAAATAGTCTCACCAACACGCAATTGGCCTAGCGTGGTGAGTATGGCTGCACGCCTGAAGAAATGGTCAATCGAGAAGGGGTTCCTCCAAAAATGGCGAGCTTTCATCCCTGGTGCCTTCTTTTCTTTCTCTCTCTCTCTCTCTCTCTCTCTCTCTCTCTCTCTCTCTCTCTCTCTCTCTCTTCAATTATATCTAACTTAATTTATCGTTGTTTCAACTGTAACCCTTGAGCGGCCTTCTATTTAGTGAACATGATATATCTGATTTGATTTTAAAATGTGTTGCTAACGTCTTTACCGGCTGAGCCATACATTCAAACAGTTAAATCTTCTGCTGCTGCTAAGGTTGTTCATTGTCTGCAGCCGACCCAACAAATATATAACTGGAGCAGACGACGAACATCTCTTGTATTGACGGCGGTGTTAGAAGAGAGGCTATTCGCTTATATTAGATTGCTTTCCGACATTACGAACGCAAGAACAATGAAATGTGAGAAGCAACAGAGATGGGTGGAACGGGAAAAATGGGCGGGAACTGAAAAAACTAAAAAAAAAAATGAAAATATCTACTAAAAGAAAATAAGAAACACTTTTATGTTTATAAGTTGTTAACCAATTTGTCTGTAGACTTGCTTGACATGAGTATGATAGAATGTAAACAAGCTGTTAATCGACTCCGTTCCTCTTCCCCTTGACGCCATTTTCGTTTTCTTTCTTTCTTTCTTTCTTTCTTTCTTTCTTTCTTTTCCCTTCAGATTTTTCGTCTTCATTCTTCTCTTATTGATGATTGTGTTTATTTTTTTGTCTTTCTTCATTCATTCAATAAACCTTACTTTTTCCTCTTCTCCTAAGCTTTTTTTAATTAATTTCTAAATTTATTTATTTATTGTTTTTCCCTAATATTTCTTCCTCCTCCTCCTCTTCTTTTTCTTCTTCTTCTTTATAACTTTCTTTTATTTCTTTCATTCAACTATTTTCTCTTTTCTTTTATACGGGATTCATTTCTTTCTATCATTCCATTTTTTTTTTATTTTCTTTCCTTCATTTTTATTCTTCTTCCTTTCCTAATTTTTTTTTTCTTTTCTTGTCTTTTTCTCCAATATTTTCTTTCTTACACCCTACTTTATTCTTTATTGTATCGTTCATTCACGATTTCTTTATTCAGTGAATTTTTCTTTATTTCTTTTCTTTTCTTTCTTTTCTTTCTTTCTTTCTTTCTTTCTTTCTTTCTTTCTTTCTTTCTTTCTTTCCAATATTAATTTCTTTCAAACTGTTCACTCTTTCAAGACAATCTGTTCATTACTATTCTTTCTTTCTTTCTTTCTTTCTTTCTTTCTTTCTTTCTTTCTTTCTTTCTTCCCTGCCTTTATTTTACTCATTTCTTTCTTTCTTTTTTCTTTTCTTTTATTTTTCTCATTTCAATATATCTTCTTTCTTTTCTTTCTTTCTTTCTTTCTTTTCTTTCTTTTTTCTTTTTCTTTATTTTTTACTCATTTCAATAGATTTGTTTTCTTTTTTCTTTGTCTTTATTTTTCTCATTTCAATATATCTTCTTTCTTTCTTTCTTTCTTTCTTTCTTTCTTTCTTTCTTTCCTTCTTTCAGTTGCCTTTCTTACTTTCTTCTCTTTGTCATTTTCTATTTATACCTTGTTCTTTTTCTTTCTTTCGCCGTTATTCCCCCCACCTCTATTTTTCCTTTTCGTTTGATGGGCAAGATAGCTATGTATTCCTTACCAGGATGGGCAAGATGGTTGTGTATTCCTTGTCCAAGCCAACATGATAAAGAAAAAAAAAAAGGATTTTAAATGCTGATTCTCAAGATTAGAGGCCTACCTCATTCGAAAGAGAGATGCAACACAATTTTCGTTGTAAATATCTATCATTCCCTTATTTTTACTCCTTTTTTTCTTTTAATTGCTTTAATCTTCTCCTAAGATTATCAGCTTCTCTATCTCCATGAAGCTATCGATGTATCAAATGCTACAACTATATCTCAGTTATCATCGCTTATATTTTTGCATCAACCTCCAACTTTGATTTACTCTCCTTCTGTCTCTCTCTCTCTCTCTCTCTCTCTCTATCTATCTATCTATCTATCTATCTATCTGTCTATCTCTTTCCCCTTTCACTCTCTCTAGTTCTTTTCTTCTACGTATTGTGAGACGTGGTGATATGTTGTGCTGTTAGGGGTTTGCATAGAAATACTTTTATATCTTATTTAATTTTTATTTTCTGTATAAGTTGTCTGTCTGTTTATTTGTTTGATTGTCTGTCTGTCTCTCTCTCTATCTCTCTGTTTCCAATTTCTACCGCTTTATCTTGACAACAACCGCCTTTCTTTTTCTTATTCACGCACATTCCTCTATTTAAATTGATATTTATACAGCCGTGTATACGAGCGTATCTTATTATTATTATCATTATCATTATTCTCTGCCGCTTGTGTTCCTGAATCAAACCTTGTGCCAAACATAGTAAATAGCAATTATTATTATTATTATTATTAGAGTAAATCTAACACAGGATTTGCAGGTTAAGAACACGGAAAATGGAATCAGAGTTCAAACTCCGGTTGAAAGAATTGGCATTCACTTCGCACTTGGGAAACGTCTGAATCAATCTTTCCACCATATTTATATGTTAACTAACAGGGTTGACTGGGCCTGTTAGCGTTGATTTTCAGTCAGTTTTTTTTTTTATAGACCATTTTAGGATGTGAATTCTCTACAACTTCCGGTTCTTTGTTTCTCTAAGCAATTTTTATCCATTTTTGTTCTGTTATCCATTCACTCAAACTCTGTAAGTCGCTTACTCGCTGTTTCCGCCATTTCTCTTACCTTCAATATGTCTTCCATGACTTCTTTTATCAGTTATGTCTTTCTGGTCGTGGCACCTCGACGTGGTGCAAGGGTTAGCAAGCTTGTCTTGCTAGATCAATTACGACTGAGTAGTGAGTTCGATCCTCACTGGGTACCCCATATTTTCGGCCTTGTGCCACATGTAAGCCGGACTTAAAAAAACGCTATAATCTATATATTTGGGCATCTCGAGGCGGTGTAATGGTTAGCAAGCTTGGCTCGCTAAAACAATTATGACTGATTAGTGAGTTCGATCCTCACTGGGTGCCCCCTAATTTCGGCCTTGTGCCACATCTAAGCTACGCTTGGAAAATTACTTTCTGGTCGTGAGCATCAGATTTTTTTTTTGTTAAAACTTAATTATTCACACGTTCTTCCCATGATATTCTCTTTTACTAATCTTCTTCTATGCGCCGTGTCCGTCCAAAGCGTGGGCGATGACGGCTCTCCACAGCTTTCTATTACTTGTAGCTCTTAGTAACGTTGGTCTTTTTGCTTCTGTCCCCGTTTCCGCTATCCATTCACACTAGTCAGGTGTGAGCCAGCTGTCTTCTGTCCCTTTTGCTTTCGATATGTCCTGTGAGTATCAAATTCTCCACGCCCTCTGTTCTCATTATGTGTCCAAAAAATTTTAGTTACCTCTTTCTTATTCTAAGTATGAGTGTCTTTTTTGTTTAACTAATCTAGGAAAAGGAAAAAAAATGAATTTATAGCCATGCAGAAAACAACGGGAAATCAGTCTTTTATCTTTCACCAAAGCAACCATGCACAGTTTACATAGATTAGAGATAAAAGGAAGGTGTGGAGAGGTATAATCGCTTTCGTCCTGAAGGAACGTGATACTTAAAGAGGGAGATAGAAATGTAAATATCAAATTACGTAATCGATTTTATTTCTTTACAAAATAAAATAAAAATCGTGTTTTTTTTTCCTTTTCATTGAAATTGTAAAATTTACGCAGAAATTCTACGAAAATTTCACCTGTAAAAATATTTCAGAAGCCCTTCCCATTTTGAATATCTGTGGATATTGAATTTACACACCAGCAGTAAATGGGGTCAAGTGACAGCAAGTCTTTTGACTATACCGACACTCCTTTCAGTGTCCTAGTTGCTTTTATCAATGCTCTCGTTTAGATAGTTCCTTCGATAATTTAGGCTTACGACCCTATCACCTTGAAACACCGCTTCTCTTACAATCACCAAAGTTAAGCAACGTCGAGCCTGGTTAATACCTAGATGTGTGACCGCTTGAGAATACCAGGTGTTGTAAATATGGATATGCGGGTGGTGTACTGGATAAAGGCTCGGAATTGGAAATCAGAGAGCCGAGTTCCAATTCCAGTCTGGTTCGTTATATTCACTTACGCGCAGATAACCTTGGGAAAGGTATGAATCCATCTCTTCTCCACACACACCCAGCAGAGGGTTAATTAGTAGGACGTGCATCAGAAATTTTTTTAGAAGGAACCGGAAACCCAATAACAGTATAACTTTTAGAGTTTAGACGGAGACATTAAAAATATAGAGTTGAAGTAGAATTTAGAAAAATAAACAAAACAAAAAAATCAACGAAAACTCAATCCTAAACAGTAAACAAGGGATAAACCTCTACTCCGGTTCAAAAGACCGAGGAGGAGTGCGAACCGGGTGATAGGCAAACCTATCTACTCCTATTAAATTGTCTTGCGACAAGCTGGTTACCCTGAAGTTTAAAATGTCAGAGGAAAAATCATTAATCGATTGCTTCTTCGTGAAAAATGATTTTAATACCTTTTTCCATGATTATTTGAAACATCTTCATTTGATTCCTTTTTTTTTTAATTTCAGTGCAAGTATTGTGGAAAAGCATTTGCGTCTCATGCCGCGCACGACAGCCATGTCAGACGTACGCACTCGCGCGACAAGCCGTTGACTTGTAAATTGTGCGGTCTTGAATTCCAGCACCAATTTGACCTGAAACTGCATTACCGGAGCCATTCTGAGAGTGAGCCAATCTGTAAGTATTTTTCTTCCTAGCAGCAGGGACAGTGACTTCTCTCTTTCCTCTCGCCGTTGATTTTTACTTAACGATAAATCAACCCTTGTTGACTTACTTAATAACAAACTTAAGTCTAAAAGTATTTATTTTTAATCCGACACTTCAAACGTCATTAGAGCGGACACTTCTTATTTGAAACAGACGTTCCATTTTTATTTATTAAACAGTGTGTATTACGTCTATCGACCTGCGCAAGGATCGAACCTGCGTCTCCCTTTGGAAGGAGGAAACATTTTCTTTACTTGGATTTCTCGAATGCACAGACCAATAGTCGTAATATACATTGTTTAATCAATAAAAATGGGGTGACTACTTTAAGTAAGAAGTGTTCACTATAATAAGATTTGAAGTAATTAAATATACCTTATATCTTATAGTACAAAAATCACTATGAATTCATAGATAGATATGCATGCATATGTCCTCCTTACACCAGAGTCAAAAAGGTAGACATAGGTCCGGTTTACACGAGAATCACAACGGTAGAAATAGGTTTATTTTTTATTCAAAAAGTTGACATGGACCCGTTTTATACCAGTGTCAAAAATATATACATGTCCGCTTTACATCATTTTCAAAAGTTTTACACAGGTTCTGTTTTAAATAGAGCCCAAAAGGTAGACAATGAGTTCGGTTTAAATTACAGTAAAAAAAAGGATAGTTTATACCAGAGTCTCTAAGTATCCACCTGGAACTTTGCCCTTTTAATTAAGATGTTGGCTTTCCACACTCCTTCAAACGAAAGCTTAAGATGCTAACCTTCATCAATAGTGAAAAGAACGACAAATTTTCCTGAAAAATTATTTTAATAGAAAGATTTTATAAATTTTAACCGACATCAACACTGACTGTTCGGTCAATGAATTCCAACTATTTCCTTATAAGGAAAAGGCTTACCATTACTATTACTCCCACTGCAGGCGATGCTGTCCTCATTCTTAAAATTAACTTCTGTTATACTAAGATAAACTTCGTACATGACAGCAATGAATAAGAATTTGTTAAAAATCAACTCAGAACAAAATTAGTCGAGGATGAAAATTTGTGAAATTTCCAGATCTTCTCCAAATTACTTTTGGTTACGAATTTTGGTTCAGAAAAGAAACAGAAAACCCACTAGAGTTTATTGTCGGCAGACACTCTTAACAATATATGATATGCAAATGATGTCGTGTTAATGGTAAGTTGAGAAAGGAACTCCTACATGAAGCAATAAAGGAGAGCGGAAAAGATAAGACAAGCTATGATCTGTAAGAAGACGGAATTCATGGTCGACAGCAAGAGGGACGGCTCAAGGTGTGAGCTACGAAGAGAAAACGTTAAAATTAAGCAGATACAGAAATTTAAACAATCTAGGTTGTATCATAACAGAAAACATCCAATCGGTTGTGAACTGGGGCAGTAATTGGCTGGTTAACTTTAACGTCACCAAAACAAAACTGCTCTCTATTAATCACCGCAGAGATCCTTCCCTGCCCTCCATTAGAATGTCTGACGCTCAACTTCTCGAGAGAACCTCTCTGCGGTTGCTCGGTCTCATGTTGTCTACTGACCTGAGATGGAACAAATATATTGAGTCAATTGCTTCGTCCACCGCAAATAAAGTTGGCTCCCTGTGCCGCGCCAGGAAATTTTTCTCCCCGGAATCGATCCTCCAGATTTACAAATCAACAATTCGCCCTTGCATGGAGTATTGCTGCCATATATGGTCTGGAGCCCCTACTGTTTGCCTCGGGGTTCTTGACAAGCTCCAGAGGCGGATATGTAATATAATTGGCCCTGATCTGGCATCTCGTCTACAGTCACTTTCTCACAGACGCGCCGTCGCCTCTCTCTGTCTTTTCTACAAATACTTTCATGGTAATTGCTCCGATGAGCTGCTTTCACTGGTTCCCAGACTTCGCGAATTCAAGCATCTTACGAGGCTGGCATTCCGCTCTCACCCTTTCACTGTTGAAACTGTTAAATGTAGCCGCCTCTTCTACTTCATTAGCTTCATACCTCGCACCTCTCGCCTGTGGAACACCCTTCCCTGTTCCTGTTTCCTTGATAGCTATAATCACCAACTATTCAAATGTAATGTCACTCGACATCTCCAGTTGCCTTGATCTATCCACTATCCTTCTCCTCATCCTTTTCCCTATCATTCCTATCTGCTCTCGCTCCAAATCCTCTATAACCCCTTTGCGTGCTAGTGGCTTCCCGCCTTGCTTGGGGTGAAATGCTTTAAAAAAAATAATAGAAAATTTGATACAGAGATCCGAAATCGCCTTAGAATACTAGCACAAGATACCTACCAGAAACTAAACAAAATAGGAAAATTTCATGAAAAATAACACTGAAATGCTATGTAACATATATCCCCTTATATGACAGAGATTAATGGACAGTTATCTCACAGGTTACTTGAAACCGCAGAAATGTGGTTCTGCAGGAGGATGCTGAGAATATCAAGGACTGAAAATTTGAACAACAAGGAAGTTTTAAGTAAGATTTTAAAAAAAGAACACATGATATGGAATCAAATATAGACAGTTGAAATTTCTTGGGTGCATAATGAAGAAGGAAGACTTGGAGAATTTAACACTCAAAGGACATATAAGAAGGCAACAGAGACAGAGGAAAACAGCGAATAATCTAGCTAACGAACTTATTTAAATGGATGGCAGTGCAAGGAATGGGAGGGGTGGTAAGGAGACAAATTTGCGTAGAAGGACAGGAAGCTGTCGAAAGCCATGTTCACCCACATCCCGAAGGAACACGATACATAAAATAGAATACATATTTGTTTGTGTATATTCGCTTAAAGTGTGTGTTTTGTTCGCCTGTATGTGAATATGATGTGTGCAGAGAAAGACAAATGAAATACATTGGGTGCTGAATAATGATGCTATGAATTTATATGAATAATCTTTTGCGTATGCGAAAATACTGGAAACGATCAACATGACATTGAAAATAATGAATCAAAAAAATCAAGAAGTTTTGAATTGCGTGAAATAAGGTTAAAGAAAAGGTTATTAAAGCAGTATTAAGCAAATTTGAATGCTGAATGTTTAAAATAACGCTTCTTTAACTTTTTTCAATATATTCCTCCAAACATATGCACCTATGCCGTTGATTACTCAGAGTATAAGAAATAGATGAACTCTTAAATTGCTATTTGTACTTCGTTTTTAGTTACAAATGTCAAGGGTGAAATTGTGTATCTACGCCATTAATAACGGCAATCCACTGCATGATGTCAGAGTGTTTTTTTATGAATTAAAAATAATATAACATAATAGAATTCAGAGTGTTGTGCTAAAAGTAACAATAATAATATGAATTAAAAATAATTATAACGGTATATCTTTTGCAGTGTTATAAAAAACAATAATGATATGAATTAAAAAATAATTATAAAATAATAGTAATAATGAAGAGTGTATCTTTGCAGTGTGCTAAAAGTAACAATAATGATATGAATTAAAAATAATTATAAAATAATAGTAATAATGAAGAGTATATCTTTGCAGTGTTATGCTAAAAAGTAACAATAATGATATGAATTAAAAAGTAATTATAAAATAATAGTAATAATGAAGAGTATATCTTTGCAGTGTTATGCTAAAAAGTAACAATAATGATATGAATTAAAAATAATTATAAAATAATAGTAATAATAAGTGTATCTTGTTATGCTAAAAAGTAACAATAATGATATGAATTAAAAAATAATTATAAAATAATAGTAATAATGAAGAGTGTATCTTTGCAGTGTTATGCTAAAAAGTAACAATAATGATATGAATTAAAAAATAATTATAAAATAATAGTAATAATGAAGAGTGTATCTTTGCAGTGTTATGCTAAAAAGTAACAATAATGATATGAATTAAAAAATAATTATAAAATAATTAAAAAGTATCTTTAATGCTAAAAAGTAACAATTATTAAAAAAAATAATAATAGTAATAATGAAGAGTGTATCTTTGCAGTGTTATGCTAAAAGTAACAATAATAATGATATGAAGAATTAACAAAAAATGAATTAAAAAATAATTATAAAATAATAGTAATAATGAAGAGTGTATCTTTGCAGTGTTATGCTAAAAAGTAACAATAATGATATGAATTAAAAATAATTATAAAATAATAGTAATAATGAAGAGTGTAAGTGTTATCTAACAATAATGATATGAATTAAAAAATAATTATAAAATAATAGTAATAATGAAGAGTGTATCTT